TCTACTATGCACCATCATCATCAATCATTACAACAAGATGCGACTCCAACAGTTGCACAAGTCATAGTTCCTACTCCTGTAAAACTTCAGGCATCTATGTTAAGTTCAGCACAAACTATACCTGATCATTGTTCGCAACTTGGTCATATGCAACAATCAAGTTTAATGTCGCAGGTAAATACATGTTTAAGTTTTTGTTGAGAAACATGAATTTGATTTACTATTTGTTTAGTAACAATGAATAAGTAGATATATAGTTGCAAGTATTATTTTCCATAATAATGTTAATGATTTTAGGGTACACCACCAGGAACTTTTCCAGAACCTGAACTGTCACCTGAACTTCAACAACAAGGATGGAAAAAGTTTTGGAGTAAACGAGAAAATCGTCCGTATTTTTGGAATAAATTAACTGGAGAATCTTTATGGGTAATACCACCTTTGAAACCTCAGGTACTAAGGTATAAAATTTAGTTATAAATGAATAAAAGCATAAACTTATACATGTCAACTGTATCTATATTCAAGTTTGACCCAATTACGGATCCACTTGGCATTTGTGGTGTACCACCTGTTTCTGGAAATGGAGCCATTCCGCCTGGAGGAACACTTAAACGTAGAGCTTCAGAGGATAGCGTTGTACCAGCTACAAAGAAATTTGTATTAGCGTATGTTTAAATAAGTTATTTTATATGATCTTTGCTTTCCATATTAAAGAACTTTTTAATGTTTTAACATATTTCAATCTAATAATAGGGGTCCATGGGATTTGGAAATTCCAACAAATGTCATTATATATGAAAGGGCTCCATCAAATTTACCTCATGTTCATCCTGAAGCAGAAGCATTACGTTGTGGTTTACTTGCAAAATTGAGACAATGTTATCAAGAATTGTGTCATACTCGTGAATCAATAGATGCTCCAAAAGATTCTTTCAATAGATGGCTAATGGAAAGAAAAGTTATAGACTGTGGTTCAGATCCTCTTTTACCAAGCCAGTGTTTTCCCGAAATTTCTATGTCTATGTATCGTGAAATCATGAATGACATACCTATTAAATTAGTCAGGCCAAAATTTACTGGTGATGCAAGAAAACAGTTATCACGGTATGCAGAAGCTGCAAAAAAGATGATAGAATCAAGAGCAGCTTCATCAGAAAGTAGGAAAGTCGTAAAATGGAATGCAGAAGACACTTTCCAATGGTTGAGACGAACAGTTGGTGCTACATTCGATGATTTCCAAGATCGTCTTGCACACTTAAAACGACAATGTCAACCACATCTTACTGAGACTGTAAAAGCTAGTGTTGAGGGTATCTGCCTGAAAATTTATCATTTATCAACAGAATATGCAAAAAAAATTAAAGATAAAAATAATCAAATATTAAAAGATAATGGCTTAGGAAATGTTATACCATTAGGAGGACCAGCTAGTGCACAAAGAAAAGTTTGGTGTTACCCAGTGCAATTTTCTCTTCCAACTCCTCGGCTTGCGCAAGTGGATTATCTTCCCGAACGTGAACAAACAATGTTGCGTTTTCATGGTGACACTGTGTGTATTAATAATATGCATCTTGCTAAATTAGAACATCTATATAGATACAATTGTTTTGATGATAAAAAATTTGAAATGTTTTTACCTCGTGTTTGGTGTATGTTAAAACGTTATCAAACATATCTTGGAATTAATGAAGGACAAGCAACACAAATGGCGCTCCCTGTCACAGTTTTCGAATGTCTCCAACGATCATTTGGTGTAACTTTTGAATGTTTTGCATCTCCACTAAATTGTTACTTTAGACAATATTGTTCAGCATTTGCTGATACAGATTCTTATTTTGGATCAAGAGGACCTTTTTTGGACTTTAGGCCTGTAAGTGGATCGTTTCAAGCTAATCCACCATATTGTGAGGAACTTATGGAAGCTATGGTTAATCATTTTGAGCGCCTTTTGGCTGATTCAACTGAACCGTTATCTTTTGTGGTATTCTTACCAGAATGGCGAGACCCAGCACCTAATGCTCTTATTAAATTAGAAAGTAGTCATTTTAAGCGCAAACAAGTAGTAGTACCTGCTATGGAACATGAATATAGACATGGGTTTCAGCATATATTACCAAAGTATGTTTTAATATTTTAGTTGGAATATTTATTGGAATAATCAAATAATATAAAGGCATGTTTTATGTACGAATATTCTTCATTGCAGAGGCGAAGTTAATATTAGGGCAGCTCATGGAACATTAGTTGTGTGGTTACAAAATGCAGCTGGTACTGCTCGTTGGGGACCTACTGAAGAAAGAGTTGAGGCATTATTAGAAGCGTGGCGTCCAGGAAGAGAACGGGAACGAGACAGACAAGAACTTTTATCACCGCCTAGGCAAACACATCAACAAATACCTTCCACGCCTATTCCTGTTTTAACAACGCCTACAACTCCAACAGTACCATTACAAACATTATCTACACATCCTATATAATTATTAAATTTTATTCTGGAAATAGGAAAGAATAGTAAAATAAGTCTAAGAATTTAATTTCAATTCTTTCCTAAAGAAATCGGTTTTTTTACTGAGACTATTTGATATATAATTTATCAATTACATTTCATATGGCTAAAGCATATAAATAACAAAATGATATCTACATATTAATTGCAGCTGGTTTGATTACACATACTTTAATATTATTTATTGTATTGATTGTAATCAAAAGAAGACATTTGCATATGAATAGGTATGTATGTATACATACATAAAAATCATTTGCATATTATGATTTTTTATTATGCCATATAAGATTCACAAAAATTCTTTCTATTAAAACTAGCAAAAAAATTTTATTTAATTTTAGTAACCTTTTGTGATGTTTATCATAGAGTGCAATTCCATTACCTATTTCCACAAGAAATGTTAAAATGTATGAGATGTGACAATGAAAAGTATGTATCTATTATATAGGTATGAAAAGATCATTCGATAATTGATATAAAATCACGTTGCGTGGAGTCTAATATTTGTAATAGTGTTAATTGTTGGTAATTAATAAGAAGACTTTGTGAGACGTGATACCCTAATAGAGGTACTTGCCATGCAAGCAAAAATTGGTTCTATTATGAAAAGTTAAGAGAAAATGCAATAGTATGTGTGCGTGTGTGCGTGTGCCTGTGTGTGTAAATACTGAAATACATATTTTATTTGCTTGTTTTTAATCGGAAAATTAGTTTATATGAAAATAATTTAAAGTAACATCCCTTTTTATACCTTTTATCCATGACAATCTTTTCTTTTAACATAAAATAACAAAGAAGTGCGGTAGATAATTTTTTTTCTAAATGTATCATCAGTGCAATATTTTATATAAACCTTTAATAGAACTTATAAAAAATATGTACAGAAATATACTAACTTCTTTCACAGAAAACATTTTTGTTACTATTCAATTAATTTTTAAACTTTGAAACTAATACGCGATAAATTTATAAATCTGTACAAAATGTTGAATTAATATAATACATTCTTCTGCTTATTAACTACTTAAATATAGTACAAAATATTTCTTTCTCATATTAATAGCCTCTTCTTTAAATAAAATACAAACATAATTCATATTCATTATATTTAAGAAGTAATATAAATAATATGGTACTACTTATTTGCATCATTTTAATTGTGTTAATCTCTTTACTTTTTTTCAGGTAGTTAAATAAGAAAATCTTTAATTCTTTATATACATTTTGTATCATGCTAAGAAAAAGTGACTAATTCATAATTCTACGTTGATAATGTAAAAGTTATTTGATATTGACTAACAAATATGTAATATAGAGAATAATTCATAATAATTTGCAAATATTACATACATATGACTTTACAATATCGTACAATTTACCCTATAATTTTATTTTATTAACTGAAAGTAAACAAATTGGCCATATATGCATTTTTTATCCAGTGCTAATAAGTTTTGATAATTATTTATGTCTTTAGATAATGCACGGACTAATATCTATACATATCTTATACGTTTTGTACATTTTTATCAATAATAAATTGTAAATAATTGT